AACCAGAGAAATAAAGACTACAAACAGAATCTAAAATCTAAAATTAAGTAAAATTGTAAGTTTGAGGATGTTTTTGTCGCGTCGGCAGGCAGGCGAGCTGGGAAGCAGGCGAGATCAGCCAGAGATACGGGTAAACGAGTTTTAATTGTAACGAAAGGAGAGACAGGCATGGACTTTAACAGACAATACAATGACGGATCTGACGAGACGTACTCAGACGCGGACTAAATACACAAGACTAGCCAGAAATAACAGGACACAGGTGATCACAATCAGGACTTGACACGAGGTAATGAGGGGGCGTGGCACACACTAGGATCGTACGGAGCTGGGCGTGACAGTTTTGCGTCATGATTTTTTTTTTGAGGAGGGGGGCCACAAAAGGATTCACCCTACACAAGGGGGCCTCCTGCTGAAAAAGTTTGAGAACCACTGGTCTATTGTATGTGTGTGTGTGTGTGTGTGTGTGTGGGGAAGGGGGGTAATGTATATGTTACATTGTCGTAGCTGAATGTGCCCACAATGTGATAAAAACCTGTTATTTTAACCATGTGGGGACCATTTTTTTGGTCCCCACAAGGGGAAATCCAATGTCCTAAAAATCTGTGATGGCAATCAAAAAACTGTTGGGATTAGGGTTTTGCCCATAGAAATGAATGGACGGTCCCCAAAAAGACATGAGTATAGGTCTGTGTGTGTGTGTGTGTGTGTGAGAGAGAGAGAGAGGTTAACATTCTAAAGGTTTGAATTTTTAAGTGAAATTATTTTGTTTCCGACCAGCTCTATTTTACACTTGTCAAATAATTTTGTTTCTGACTGGCACAGCAGTTGAATGGCCCGCCAGGAATTCTCCCGAGTCTCCCGACTGGCCACTCAGGGACTGTGTGAAAGGCTGCTGTAAACACACTTGCACACTTGGCGTTCTCCAAACCAGCAGTCTACATATAATTTATACATGTATAACCTACTAAAGTTTTTGTGTGTCGTCTGCAGCTTTGGCAAAACTCCCAACCCCAATATGAATCAATCCCGTGATATATCAAAAGTCATGATGCAGCAGGGTCTACTGTAAACACGTAAATGGGTGATTAATATTAATGGCATTTTTTTCTATAGGTGTGAAGTTTTACAGTGTAGAGTCAAAATTGCTAATGGTTGTGTCCAAGTGAAAGAAGAGTTTTTACAGCAGGACAAAGAATATCTATTAATATTGGATTCTAACCTGCCATTTAAATTGTGCCTGAAACATGGAGTGAAAGCCCTTCCTGCTGTGCTTCTATTTGTTTACCTTATGATTCTCCCCTTACATGTCACCTCTGCCCAGCAAGACTGTTCTCCCTTCATGTGTCTTTGTTGATCTCCTACATAAAACGTGACATTGTCCTTCTCAGCCTGATAGGTCTTTACCTTGTCACGTGTCGTATTCGTGTTCTGACTGTCGTGAGTCACCTTGGTGTGCAGATTTTCAAAGCTCCTTGAGGACCGAAGGAGAACGTGATGAGTTCAGCAGTAGTTGCAATTATACAGTCTGTCACGATGTAGTTACAAAATGTTATTTGTAAGTAGTACCTAGTAGGAAAATAAAAACTGTAATGAAAAAAGTATAACCTTTTACTTTATTCTGTACTGTAGCATCTTACTCCCTGTCCAGTGTCTTTTTGATTGTGTTCCCCTCATCCTTCAGCTCTACATCACTCAATGAGTTTGCCTTTACAAATATGGAGGTGTAACAGTGTACAAAATAGTACAGCAAATATGTTCTTTCCATTCTTCCAACATTCTTGACACCCTTCCTCTTACTGTAATCATCCTTATGGCCCATGCTTTTATCCACTTTCTCTTATTTCTCCCTTTCCTCCTTCCCCCCGCTCAACACATCCTGCCCCTACCACTCCATTACCCATGCCCCCCCCTCGCCCAAGTTGCTCTGTTCAAGGGCTGCGACGCAGTGTGGTAAGCTGCATGCCTGTGCTGTCCTGGCTGCCTGGCTACTCCATCAGAGACTGTGCCTTGGGGGACCTGATTTCCGGCGTCAGTGTGGGCATCATGAACCTGCCACAGGGTGAGTCTGGTCATATCTTGGAGGGAACGAGGAGGTCTGGTCCCGCTCATTCTCCATGTAGCTCCACAGCTACGAACTATATGCTAAAGACTGCAGACAGTCACTACAGGAATTGACAGGTAACACGGGTCATATTTGCTCACTATTGAATTATTATTCATTTAACGTTAAAACACAAACAAGGAATATCTACATTTGATGTTTATGGTGCCTCACTCTTATGTGTACACTATTTGCCCTTCTGTTTTGATAATTTCAAACAGCTAGAAAATGAATCCCAGGGAATGTTTCACACTCCAAGCACACATGAGCTAGACAACCATTGTTTAGTTGATTAAGCATTTTCGCTGTGTTTCAGAACCGAACCCCAGCAGCTCTGTTTGTTGAGGCCAAAATAACACCTGCCGTGTTTTCTCGCTCCTGCAGGGATGGCATATGCCTTGCTGGCCTCTGTGCCTCCCGTCTTTGGGCTCTACACCTCATTCTACCCTGTGCTGGTCTACTTCATGTTTGGAACATCGCGACACATCTCCATAGGTGAGCAGCTATGTCTAGTGGCAAAAAATGCCACACTTGAAACCAGCTCTCTGTTTTACACAAAGTAGATATACTGTTGTTTCAATGCTCCAAAGTTGTTGACAAAATTTTGAAAGCCATTGATGAAATTTTGTCCATTACTACTGGGCATTACATTTCTTTCATAGGTTTTGTTGTAGATGCTCTTACTGTATATGATACACTGTTCTTTACGTAATGGACGGACACTTGTTAAAAAAAAGCAGCTTTGCTGTTGCTTGTGTGTGTTTGTTTTTAAATATTTATTTACTTGTTTGTTTATTCAGTTTGTGTGTGTTCCTGTATTTTGATTTGCATGTGTTTTTAATTCTTAAATATTTATTTACTTTGTTTGTTTGTTTGTTTGGTTTGTGTGTGTCCTGTTGCGTTCAGGCACGTTTGCAGTGATCAGCATAATGGTGGGCAGTGTGACAGAGCATTTGGCTCCTGACAGAGACTTCCTCATTAATGGCACCAACGCCACTGGTGAGGTGGATGTAGCTGCCCGGGATGCCTACCGGGTTAACGTGGCCGCCACCACCAGTGTTCTGGGAGGGATCCTCCAGGTACGTCCAACACCTCTTGGCATCTATCTATCCATTTTCCATGACTGCTTACCCAGTTCCGGTGAGCCTGGAGCCTATAGCAGAAAGTGCAGAGTCACTATGGGGAATTTAGAGCCACCGGATTGTGCTGTGACAGGAAGCCAGAGTATGCAGAGAGAACTGCGAGCACACAGAGGCGGGGCTTCCGTTCACCTCCACAAAGAAGAACCATATATCACACTAGCAATCCCAATCACCAATTAGACACATGCTGTCCGCGCAGATGCTCACAGCTTGTCCTTCAAACTAACTGTGCCCCCTCCCTGCAGGTCCTCTTAGGCCTGGTGCGATTCGGCTTCGTAGCGACGTACCTGTCAGAGCCGCTGGTGCGGGGCTACACTACAGGGGCCACCGTGCACGTCGTCGCCTCTCAGCTGAAGTACCTGTTCGGCGTGGCGCCGCGCCGCTTCAGCGGGCCCCTCTCCCTGGCCTACGTCAGCATCTCGCCAAGCACTCATCCCATCCCACAAGCCCTCTCTCCCTCTTTACTCATCCACTCCTTCCTAGAATAGATCAGCCTGGGCCTCGGTTGCTTTCAGCTCTCAGATAATAAAAAACCTGTTGTGCCACAGCACTTAACCCTCATTAAGCAGTGACTATTGCATATGTGTATGCTTGTAGAGGTCTCTAAGGCCTTAAGGACTGTTCTTCATGCTTTCATGCTTTTCCTGTCCTCCTCTTTGTAGACGCTGATTGATATATGCTGCCTGCTGCCTGAGACCAATGTGGCCATTCTGGTGGTTGGAGTGATCTCCCTCGTGGCTCTGATATCAGTGAAGGAGCTGAACTCCGTCTACAGCCACAAGCTGCTCCTGCCTATTCCGATTGAGCTTATTGTCGTACGTCTCCCATTTTGTCCCTCACACCTTCCATCTGCCTTATTACTCATTAGCTGTCGACATATGGATGTTTTCCAGGCCAGAAATTGTTTCAAAATTACAGCCGGAAGAAGAGCTGCATTTAATATCTGCTTCCTGAAATGGCTTTTAATAAAAACAAGTGGGAGTTCATCCTCATTACTTTGAATACAAACATTGCAACCACACACCTGGACACACACACACACATTTAATTGAATGCTTATTAGGTGCAACCCTAAAGATTAAATGGTCATATTCCCTCAGATTCAGAAATGATTTTCTGCATGATTTGTTTCTGCTTTCACATTAGGCTGGATATTATTCCACAGCCTCCACTTGTGTAATCAGTATGGTCAAAGTGGGTAACTGTGGGTAACCCAGCAAAGGAGCTTTTCATTGGGTTCCTCTAAACTGAAGAGAACCTTCTGTCTAGAAAAAAATGGTATAATAGACCTAAAAGTATAATAGATCTAAAATTCCTAGAGACAGTTTAACATCTGCATGTGTTTGTTATATAGATTGTGGCAGCCACTCTGATTTCATTCTATGCTGATCTGTCGAGCCGCTTTGACGTTGATGTTGTGGGGGAGATTCCAAGCGGGTGAGTGTTCAATGAAACATTTAGTTGCTGTACTCTACTTCATATTAAAAATACAGCTGAACATTACTGAACAGGTATCAGTAGCTTAACATTAGCTGATAAGGGGACAGGAATTGGAGAGACACCAGAAACTCTATACTGTGCTCCACATACAATAGACACCTTATAACATTACAGTTTTGGTTTGTGCATATTTCGGTCAAGCTGTAAACTAAGCCCAGCTACCTCAATTTGCCCTCTGGAAGCTTCCTCTTTTATCTGAGCCATCTTTTGGGCCCCCTGTTTCCATGCACACAGGTTGAAGCCTCCCATTGTCCCCGACGTCAGCATTTTCATGGAGGTGGTTGGGGATGCTTTTGCCATCGCTATCGTCAGCTATGCCATAAACATGTCACTGGGCAAGACGTTTGCTGTCAAGCATGGCTACAAGGTGGACAGTAACCAGGTACATCTTTGACACAAGTGCCCTATGGATGATTATACTGTTTGGAAACACCCTGCAATTGGTTGGGTTGGCGGGGCATTGCGACTATAGCTTCCAAGATAGGCTCCAGATTCCCATGACCCTGCATAGCACAAGCAAGTATGGAAAATTGCTGGATGGAAATATAGTAAATAACAGTGTCTTGTGTATGTCATAAACAGGGATTGACATAACTGGTACGCAAGTACGCATTCACCTGTAAAAGTGATATGTGCAGCAATCGGTTGTTGTAACAGCGTGAATGTGTACGTATTTCATGTGCATTTGCACCAATATGAAAAGAAATTATCATGCATTTCTGGCAATCCAGAATAAATTCAAGCCTGTGCTGTGTGTATTGTTCGACTTGCTTTTAATAATTTCCACATCAGTACAGAACAGTGGACACATTATATAGGTACTAGGGAACAATTTTGAATATGGTTTTTACAATAATGATACTTTATTTCCATTTGTACAAGTACAGGTACATGGTAATTTTTTTATTCTTACATATTTACGCATGATGAGAGAGCAAAGCTTGGAGTCAGAGTTAAAGGTCAGGCATTTTCCCAGCCAATCCTCCAGCCATTTATAGGATATAAATATTTCACCCCAAAACTGAAAAAATATATGTTTTAGAGGGGCTTTAGTGCTATCTATCTAGTTTGGCGATAACTTCTGTACAGTGATACGATTAGTTTGTGGAGTCCTGTAGAGGAAAATTGTGAAACTGCTTACTACAAAGTCTGTGGATTATCTTCAGTAACTGGGTCATGATTTCTGGTAAGAGACATCACTGTTCAATTTTTCAAATGTGTTTTTCTGGTACTTTAATCACCACAGAAAGAATGCCATTCACTCGCATTATATTCAAGAGAAGCCCAACATTACTATGGTTAATATCTCCAAAATTAGGCAGCTCCCAGCAGAACAAATTAGATTGATATATGACACTAAAGCCCCTCTAAAACATCATTTTCAGTTTTGGGGTGAACTGCCCCTTTAACTCAGGGGCACCTCAGGAATATGATACCTCTGGCAATCATGGATTTCAAACCAATGATCTTCCGAATGTGAATTGGGTCTGATCTCTCATAGTACTGAGGAAGCCTGTACACTGTATTATCTCATCACTCCTCCCTCACTTGCGTGGGAGGCTAACCACATAGTCTCCATAAACTTAAAATTAATCCCACATTAACCCCATCTGAGAACCTGCTCATTCTGTAATAGCAAGATCCAGCCATCTGCCGATTTTTCCTCTTCCGTAACCATGGTGAGCCTGACACCTGTCCCAGGAAGATCAGGGCATGCTGCCCCCTGAATGGGATGCTGGTCCATCACAGACAAAAAATACAGACATGAATTAGCTAGATTGTATATGAATTGTGTAATGTACTGGTTATCTTCTGGAAACCAATTATGACCCAAATGCACCTTAAGTATACTGTGTAGTATTCATTAGAACTTAACACAAAACAGAACACAATCTTTATGATGCTCATGTGGAGTCCACACATGTAAACCTGTTCTCAGAATCACATAAAATTTAATGTCCTTGTACTTATGTTCAAGGTTGTGCCGCTTCACACCTCTTAGCAGACTTGTTAAATTACTTAACAGAATTTATAGCTGTGCCTTAACCCTTGAATTGAGCAAATAACCTTAAGGTGAGCATGTTGTGGAACAAATCATTTAAAATGAAGCAACCAAGCTTCAGCGTGGTGATCTGTGGAATAAATCGACCTAATGTCAAGTGAGCAAGCCTCAACTTTAATAATACATCTAAAAGTTTTTGAAAAGGCTTAAATTATTGTGGATGAAAGTGTTTTATTAATTTCACTTATCAAAGTGCTGTACTGACAATAATGCATTTAGTAGCTATCTTACAGTCATAGGATGTCTTTGAGGGGACCTCCTGGTTTTGTTGTCTTGCTTGTTCACAATCTTGACAGGCCTGTCTCCTGCCTCCCTCGCCGCATCCTCCTGGTGGAGCTCTAACATATGCTCCCCTCTGACCCCCACTCCACCCCTCCACACAGGAGCTTGTGGCTCTGGGTCTCAGCAATGTAGCGGGAGGTCTTTTCCAGTGCTTTTCCGTAACCTCCTCCATGTCCCGCAGCCTGATCCAGGAGAGCACAGGGGGCCGGACACAGGTGAGACACATTTCGACCATCTCAGTTTTGCCCTGGGCCATGTGTATGCCAACAGCACCTCTAGCTACTAATTGATACAGTAATCACCTATATATGTCTCATCATCACGTGTGCTGCCTGATGTGCACTTTTGAGTCTGTTGGTGGGTGCTGTCAGGTGGCGGGGGCTATTTCTGCTCTGGTGGTGTTGATTGCTGTGCTGAAGCTGGGGCCGCTGTTTGAGAAGCTCCCCAAGGTAAGTCTCTCCTCGTTACCCATAGTGCACCTGATATGAGTAATAGCTGTGGCTAATGCGTTTTTCTCGTCCATTTGCCTGCCTCAGGCAGTCCTGTCCACTGTTGTCTTCGTCAACCTGAAGGGCATGTTCAAGCAGTGCCAGGATATTCCCATGCTGTGGAGAAGCAGCAAACCTGACATGGTATGGGGAAAATATGCTTACTAACCACCATTAATTGGACAAAAACATATATGGGAGCCGCAGTTTGTGCTGATCTGCATTCGGTTTTAAATTACACTTAGGAATACAATTTATGAATTGTGAAAAATGGGACACCCAGGTTAGTGTTTGCATGCACACAGGGTTGTTGTGCAGTATGCATGTATTCTATAAACATATCTGAATTTACTTGTTCATGTTTTTGATGAAATCACCAATGTGAACTGGTTGTCAGCACCAGAACGTGCACAGAGTGTACACTGAAGAGCAACTTCCCAAATGAGTGAGTGGCTTGTGTCTGTGGGGTGTGTGTGTGTGTGTGTGTGTGTCTAGCAAGAAAAAATGATGTAGGCTATCTTACAGTTTACAACACTCACAATGTGCACTCACAATGCAAATTTTTACCTGCATGCTACTCCCAAATGTTGTAACCAGTGATGTCTCAATTCAGTATCAAAAATAGGAATTGGAACTACAGCCTGATCCTAAGCCCCATCTATTTCCACATCCATGCCATTTATGTCAATTGTGCAAATCGTAAGGTTCATTCACATGCTACAATAAGTCTGAGGCACTTGCCTCGAAACTACAAACTATCAAGATGTCAGCCATCTGAAAATTCCATAAACTGGAAACGAAAACTAGCCCAACAGCTATGCGCAATGTTTGTAAAGCCATCCTTTCAAAAGAAGGTAGCAACAGGGCATCATTTAATACAGTGCTTTACAACCCAGTCCTCAGCTGGGAGAGAACGAAACAATGGACTGTCTGGGGGTCCCGAGGGCGGTGTTGGAAAACACTGATTTAATACAATAAATCTAATTGGGCACTTGCAGAAATATCACAAGGAAGAATACAGTGAAATCATGAGGCTTACTCAGATGAAGAATGTACCGCCACTTACTGTATATGTATATACTGTATATTTAAGTATTTGTGAAAAGATCGGAATTCGGAATTGGCAAATATCAATATTGAATGGATTGGATTAAGAACATAAGAACATAAGAAATTTACAAACGAGAGGAGGCCATTTGGCCCATCAAGCTTGTTTGGGGAGAACTAAACTAATAGCTCAGAGTTGATAAAATCTTATCTAGCTCTGATTGAAAGAAACCCACTGATTTACCTTGCGCTACACTAGCAGGAAGACTATTCCATACTCTAATCAGATCGGGGTGACAAAGAAATAGGTTAGGACAACCATAGTTGTAACTGGTTGGCTAAGGATCCCAAATGTGAATGGAAAGCAAAATGCATAGTATGCGTGGAGCTATTCGACATTTTGAACATGGGCAAGCTGTTACCCACATGGCAGGCAGAAGCATTGCTGTCGAGTTCCCGGAAAGGGGAAGATGGGAAATTGCCCTGGGCAGCATCTTCTGGGAGGGTGTCGTCTTTCCACCCCCACTCCCATAACATGGAAAGTATGTAGGAAACTTGCAGATAAACACTGATTATGGTGTCTGTTCTCACACCTGTGAACATGGCTATTTCTGCTGTCTGCAGAAATAGCCGTGTGCCTTACTACATTTCAGTCTGTGACGCATGCCCCCACCCTGGACAGTCCTGATGTGTGTCCCATCTCTCTGAATTCTCTTACCTGCAGCTGGTATGGCTGGTTACCCTGGTGTCCACCCTGCTTCTAAACCTGGACCTGGGCCTCGTGACCTCCATCGCCTTTGCCCTACTTACAGTCATCTTCAGGACCCAACAGTGAGCCAGGCTGTCTCTTTACATTTGTCATTGTCTCAAATTTGTGAGCCTGTTAGCTTTTCTCTAATTTGGAACAAAGTTATAGGGAAAAAAATCAGATATTTTGCCAAGGAGGAAATTGATGAAGAAGCAGATTATTACAGTAATAAAAACAAGGCCTCTTTTATCTGGCATCTCTCTCTTCTGTTTCTGTTTGGTTCTTTGTGTAGGCAGGCAGCGTAGTCAGCATCTCAAAACAGAAGGCCGGCGGTCAAGCAGATTTATCAGTTCTCTTTACACCGATGACTGTATCAAAGTTCAGCAGAGAAATGTAACCAATTCCTGTGGTATAAAAATCTGTGATTGTTAGTTGTAATATGTGGCTATCGTAATGGTTATTAAGATTATTTCTTTTGTAAAGAAATTTCTTGTTACAGTGCTGTTTTGGTGAACATGCACCATGGAACAGTGCATTGTCTCCTTTTGTAACTTGGGTACATGTAAGTGAAACTTTGACTGTGCTTGTTCAGAGTGCTGTTGGTGTTGTGTGACATCTTGTTTGTTCCCAGTTGTTGACCTCGGGATTGTGTTGACTCTGCTCTGGGGCTCGCTTTGCATTGCAGAGCCTAGTGGTAAATGGAGATGGATCACATTTTCTGCTGCATGGACAATGTGCATGCCCTGATATTGGATGTTTTGAAATTTTTGCCATATCTTTTATTCTGTTATCTGCAGATTGTTAGCTGTTTGCAGTTTTAAATTAAGGGATAGTACCGTATCATGCATGTATGCATGTAACAGTATCATGCATGTATGGTTTGCTGTTTAGGGTTAACGAATTTAAGATAATCCAAACCACATTGTTCAAAGCGTGTTTAATAGAAAGGGGAAATATTTTCAGCTGTATCGAAGCTAAGTGATTTATCACGCTCTATTACAATGAATTCCCCATGTCATTTATGTGTTCATTGTCCTTTGCAAGATAAAGATTAATGTTGCTCATATTTCTGTCTTTGCTCATTCCTCATCTTTCTCTATGTCTCTCTTCCTCCCTCATTCTGCTCAGACCAAAATATTCCGTCCTCGGGTGGTTGCCAGGCACAGACATCTACCTTGATATAGATACATACGATCAGGTGAGCCTAACGGTGCCAAATCTAGGAATAATGTGATGGTGTGAGGCGGTCATGCTGCGATGACGAATGACTAAAGGAAAGGATGTGAAAAAGGACAGCAACCTGCAGGGGGGTTTTACCCGAGTGACGCACTGCCTTGTTTGGTCTTGTTGTCTCCCTGCAGGTGAACACAGTTCCAGGCATCACCATTTTCCGTTCCTCCAGCACCATTTACTTTGCCAATGCTGAGCTATATCTAGAGGCTCTACAGGAGAAGGTTACTTTTATGTCTAATTGCAGCTGTAAATTATTAATGTAGCAATTTAACCCAACTATCCATTATTCCTGTCTCTGCTGTTGAATCCACTGGCACAACAGGATTTTCTGTTTCTTGTAAAGTAGCAACAGCAGTGCATTGGTGACAGTGAAAGGGAGTCACTGCAATAGTGACAGTAGCAATGGCTGCCAAACCATAGTCACTAACCCTAATGCATCATGGCTACACACAGAGTGGCGTTGACTTTCTGAAGCGGCTGACCCACAAGAGGAAGCTGGTAGCAAAGCTCCAACGGCAAAAGAAAAGGGACGAGAGGAAAGCAAGGAAAGAAGCTAAGAAACAGGTGTGAGAAAGCAGGTACACCTGCAGATGTCAAATGGCATTAGGGCTGAGCAAGAACACCATCTCAATGTGGAATTGTCATTCAGTTGGGAAGGTTGTATTGGTTCTTGATGCTACTTTTCCTTTTTCTTCTCATATCACCAAGAGAAAGGTTCTGAATTCAAGGTCTGGAACACTATTTTCAGTGGAGCGAGTGATGGGCCAATGGAAAAGGCGAGACGGATGGGAAGATGAGAATGGAGGTGTGCAGGAAGGTGGTGTTTGTGACCAAGCTGACAGGGTTAAGATGGAAGATGGAGTCATCAGTGGTCAGATGAACTTGGGGTACCAAGATGGAGAAATCCCTGAGGAAGCTACACTCAATAGGAGCGACACCATTAGTGCAGAAGTGACTACTGGCTCTCCAGGCCTGAGCCCTTTGGATATCCACTCCATAATCCTGGACCTCTCCACCACCGGCTTCGTAGACACAGTAACCATGAAGACTCTGAAAAAAGTAAGTTGAAGTGTTCATGGGGTTATAGGGAAGGGGTGATAGGGGACAACATGAAGGCTCATTGTGTAAGTTTTGTAAACATTAAGGATTTCCTTTGAATGGATGCCATTGGCCTTGTCCTTGGATGACAGTTTTCAGCCTGCTTTATCTCCTCATTTCCTTGCAGATATTCCATAACTTTGGAGAAATAGATGTGGATGTGTACATGGCTGCCTGTCAGTGTGAGTGCATTTTAAAATGGCTTAATGGGTTACACAAACTCAATATTATATAGCAGTGTTTCCACTGGCTGCTTCTATGTGAATGCATTTGTGTTGGCCTGGAGACCGTGGGCTATCTTTATGTTTTCATTCACATGAAAATAAAGCACACATTTTACCATATATATACACCAATAATCCAAAACATTGAGACTACCCCAACATGAAGTGAATAATATGAGCTATTTTGTAAAAATGGTATATGTGAAAGTCTGGGATATATTGGACGCAAGCCAACATTTGATACTTGTATTGTAGCTGACATGCAGAAGAAATAGACATGGATAAAGATCTGAGTGACCCTGGTAATGGCCAAATCATTATGGCCAGACGACTGAGTTAGAGCATTTCCAAAAGCATCTCCAATGACAGTCAGCCAAGGTGGATACCTACTGAGGCCTGGAGCTTGGTAATGGCGGATCGGACATGTAGGTTCTGCATCTCAGAGATACACGACACATGCCTGCTCAGTCACACATGATGTAACAAAAGATAGGATTTATCAGATGAGGAGACCTTCTATTTTTCTATGGTCCAATTCCAGTCCTCGTAGGCCCATTGTAGGTGCTTTTGGTCGACAGTAGACAGGGGTCAACATGGGCAATCTGACTGGCCTGTGGCTACACAGCTCCATAGGCACAGGGCTATGAGACATTTCTCCCATGACCAACATTAAAATTATTTGCCATTTGTGCCCTTCTGTCACGCAGTACCAGACAGGATAGTTTTTGTTCACGTTGATGAGTCTTGGCCACCTAACACCCGGTCGGCGGTCCCCACAACTTTTTGTTGGAGGATGCAGTGTTTTTATACACTGTCTGAAAAAAGAGTACCAGGCACAGAAATGGATTCAGAGGAGCATCCCTAAGGTGCAAACAACATTAATGTACCCCCAATGGCCCAAAAAATCTTAGTCAGAGTCCATTTCTGTATCTTAAAAGGTACCAGTACCTACAGCTAAGGGTACAATTGGCAGACCTTTAAGGGTACAGTTCCAGTGACAAACAAAGGTACAAATCTGTACTCCTTTTTTCTGACAGTGTAGTTTTGATTGTAGTATTTTTAGGTTTTACATTATTTTCATCTGAAATCTAGTTTAGTTTTAGTTAGTTTTCAGTGTGGTTTTATTATTTTTTATTGAATATATTTCTTGATATTTTCATACTTTTACTTTCAGTTTAGGTTTTACTAATTTTATTTCCTGGGAAAGACTGAAAGTTGTAGAGCTATTTAGTATCTCGTACATGCAGTGCACATTATGTGCTCAAAATTGACATAACAAATTCCAAGTATTATTACTGGTTTTATAAAGGCAATATGCTGGATTATTTTGAACGATTTTCTTCCAGTTTAGTTATAGTTTTAGTTTCAGTTTTCATTAATGATAGTAACCCTTATAGGGCGTAACACCAGAAAATACTAGCATCTTTTCCAGGCAACGTCATTTCAGGGAACTCCTCTGATATGGTAGTGTTGTCATGTCCCGCATTTTACGGGATTGCCCCATATTGAAAAATGAAGTGCTGTTCTCCATTTTGAACCATTACAGGACACTATCTGTCCTGTATTTTGTGAATATTCCTCCCTCCAACCCGAGGCAAGTTTTTGTCGGCAGGGACCCCGGTTGACATCCAGAATTTCTTCAGATTGAAAGCTGAAACACTAATGGCTGGTTTCTGTGATTGTAAACACTTGCATTCTGTATGTTCTACTGGATGGCAATGCTTTGAGTTTACAGTATACAGCATCAGTACAGACTTTAAATTGCCTAAAGCACTAAAATTTTTACTTGGTTTTTCCTTAAATCTTCATTAAAAAATATGTTGTAGTTGCTGAGCTGTCGCTTTCTTCACCGACACCTGAAGTTTCTTTTGAGCGAGTGCTAATCTCTCACATGACCCATGTATACAGATTCCCCCAGCTATCTGAAACTAGACCATTCGAATGAAACATTCCATAAGCCAAATGTCGTAAACTGAAGATGCAATTGCCATTAATTTATATGGGATTTTTTGGAGCATTCCCAGATTGAAAAAATAACCCACCAAATCATACCAAATAACACATAAAATCTAAAATAACAATAACATATAGGCTCAGTAAAAGCAGTAATGATATGATAGGTACAACCTTATATAACCTTAATAAAGTAGAAATAATAATAATTGATACTTTGTTAATCCCCCAACTTGCTCTTTATGGAGTAAGCTGTCTGTGAATGGCAGTGACCTGTTGCAGCGTCCCAGGAGCTGGGGACTAAGGGCCTTGCTCAAGGATCTGCAGGCGTGCCGAGGCTGGATTCAAACTGGTGACCTTCTGATTACAGGCACAGAGGCTTAGCCCACTGAGCCACCTGCCTGTACGGTGTAGTTTCACTTATCAGAATCAATACAGTCATGTGTCGCTTAATAACAGGTCTACGTTCTGAGAATTGTGTCATTAGGGGATTTCGTTGTTGTGAGAACATCATAGAGTGTACTCGCACAAACCTAGATGGTACCACCTACTACACACCTAGGCTATATAGCATAGCGTAACCAACGATGAAACGTACAGTCTAGTAAAAACTTAAACGAATAACATAGTTATCAAATATTATGTACTGTACGTTATTTATATGTGTTGTACTTTTATACAACTGGCAGCGCAGTAGGTTTTTTTTACCCCGGCATCACCACAAACACGTGAACAATGCATTGCGCTACATCTTTATGTGGCATATGACTGTACAGTATATCTCAGCTCGCTGATAAATCCTAAAGGCTATTTTCACTTTCTTTCGGTTAGCGAAAATAGGTACTAATGTAGGTCTTTCCGTAAAAGCGAAGAGGCATAAAGCAAAAATTCTCAAAACAGGGCAAACCTGTTTTCCCAAAACTGTAGCACGCAGTTTGCTCCGCTTACTCAGTCTACCTTGCTTTACGTTTGTAACATGTCCGTTCTTAAAAAAAAAAACTACCATACATTGGTTGGAATTGTGTTCCTTTCTGTGATGTGATAGGCTATCAAGCAATATTCTTTATTGGCAGTTTATCGAAGTTTCACCTTTTTCTTTATCAGTTACATTTATATGACAATAATATATGGTTTATGTCACCCATTCCTACCTTGTATTATGTCTCAGACCTTGACCTACACCAATTTTCCCGATACAGTCAGCATTATTCACTTCACATGGGGGTGATCATAATATTTTGGCTCTTTCGTTTGACTTTAATTTGTGCTTCACATAACCACAATAAAACATTTAAATGAATGGGTAAAATTAGCTGAAGGAATATATTTCCAGCACATCATCAGATGACAGGAAGTGCTACTGTATCTATCTGTAGAGATCTGTGATGCAGCCTTTGACTCTCTGATGTCTCATTTTCCAAATGCCCTTGTGCTCAGCCTGTGTGGTGGAGCAGCTGGAGTGTGGAGGATTCTTCTCTCATTCCCTCCCCAAGGGCCGGCTGTTCGCCACGGTCCATGATGCTGTACTCCACTGCCTCTGGCGAAGGGGCCAGTCAACTTTGCCTGCCTACGTGCCGGTGAGCACTGACTCTACTGCCTCTCTATGACTCACACAGCAAGCCCAGAAACATGCACCAAACCAGATTTTACACACAGAGTACACAATTTTATAAATCCCACCAAGGATAAAAGAACAGTCTATCAATGAAACAGTTTTTTTCCTAGTCATAACATTAGATGCTGCAGTTGCTCCCACTGACAGAAATCTATGCTGTGAGATCATTATCACTTTGGACTTGTCAAGTCGTGACACGTTAATGAACTGTCATTGCAGGATGTGGCTTGCAGCACCAAACTGTAACCTTGAGGTCTCCCCATCATAGAATTTCCATCCCGCCTACTTTCTTTTGCTGTTGTGGTCAATATGCACAGCCATGCCTCACCCACTCCTATGTTATGTTTCTATGGCAATAAGGATTGCAGTTTCTGTGGCAACAGGTTTTTTTTCCCTAACTCTCAGATAGTCTGTAAGTTGCCTCACAAACATGTAAAAGGGATGAAAATGTACATGGGAAATGTAGTGCTGGGAACATATCCATAAATATACACAACTCAGGTGGAAGAAGGGACAGCTTTCAAAGTCAGGGGTCTAAGTGACACTGTATTACTAATCCACTTTACAAAAAGACTCTTCAGTGTGTGTCATTTTAAGACATTTTACTGAATCAGTGTATACATATTTACAAAGTACATTGTTAAATTTTTTTTGTCTTAATACTTTTTGGCTACTTTCTATCTATTTAAATCAGAGAAAGAGAATCTTAATGAATTTAAAATTAATTTAGCTTTTTAAACTTTAAAAGATAGGTCTGGTAGGTTTGTACTATCAAGCATGCCTTAAAATGACCTGTAGGGAGGAGTTTGCAGAACAGGTGGGCGTTTCTTCAGATATATGCATATTACATAGAGTGTACAAGCTGGATTCATAAAGGCGTTTACTGGCAAAGTGCTGTGGGACAATAAACACGAGGGTGAGAACACGAGGCAATTTCCGTCTTCTTGATTTTTATTGCTTTTTGCTAAACTCGGCATTGCCGCCCGCTGAGCCCTCCCCTTCAAGCTCCCTTCACGAAGCTGATAACCAGCCCCTCAGGAACAGTAACACTGATTCACAAACCTACAGAAATTAACACTCACAGTTATACATACACAGGGCTGGAAACACTTAACTCTATATTAAACTTCTATCAGTAGCAGGAAGAGGGGAAATGGCATACAATCAGCTGGCTGACTGAGTCATGCAGGTGGATTACTTTCTACCGCACCTTTATTCTTAACCATGGGCAGTCATAGATGGAGAGTTTAATGTAATATAAACAGGGATTAATTCCAAAAATTCTTTGAGCTTATATTAACTACTATATGTTTACTCTCTCTAAATACTAATCTCAGCAAATATTGTTTAGCATAATTTAATGGCATCACCACACGAGTGTCTACCGGCAAACAGCTTGAAGGAACGGGCTGTCTTGCTCCGGCGATAATTGGGAGAACGGAACGTCTGACAAAGAGCCTCTGTCCTCGTCTCTTGGCCTGTGCTGTCCCAGTAACTCAAGGAGTATCTGAACCTGCTTTTCCACCAAAGGTTGTCTGTTATACCGTAACTGCAGATGTGACACACGAGAGGCAACACGTTAACACTCCTACACTCAGAGTGGCAACCCGGAACCTTCTCCTTTAGTGGATAATACTTTGTATTGTTTATCAGACCAAGAAGCCTGTGTCGAGGTTCGGAGGTCTAGGATTTTCGGTCTGGTCAGTTTCCATGGGGGCCAGCGGCAGTATCAGGTTACTTGGTGGCTTTTAGCCTTTCACGTGTGTGGCTCATGTTACCACCACTGAATGAGAGGGACATGAGCGCTTTCTGCTGGGGTCTCGAGTGCGTTTCAGAGGGGTTCCAGTGAGGGACCTGGCCATGTGACAGCCAACCTTTCATCAAACTGAACCCACTGGCATTGTTGCCAACCTTGACTGGATAACACAGGTACAAGAAGCTGAGCATGGTAAACAGTCACATGAGCTTTCTCTATCTATGTATCCCATGGTGAGTGGCTCACAGCAGATCTCTTAATCTGTACACTGCAAAACAAACTCACAGCAAAGGAAGGCCGCTGTCCAACCCCTGGGCACCTCAGACTGAAGCAGGTGGAGATAGGACCCTCAGGACAGGGTAGCCACCAGGGGGCCAGCACCCCACCAGCAGGGCACTGAGTTTCTAACTACTCACTCTGCAGAACCATGTGGACCTGATTTAGACATGATGCCACCTGGAGGACGCATGAACTTAACACACAATGGGCTGTCACCTTGGGCTATGGGACAGACACAGTATTGCTGCCTGAAGACTGAGATGGGCAGAGAGCTGTGCTGCTTAACAGGTGATGAAAGTGTAAGAAATAAAACTTTAATACTGTGGTTTACTCTTTGGCCAGCCGGTGGCCTATGTATGGTTTTCCCAGAAACATATAGTACTGCGCAAAAGTCTTAGGCAGTCAAAAGAAATGTTTAAAGCTATTTATCTGGGTAGTATGTGCACATTTGCTCTGACTAAAAAACATAAGAACATGTGCGAAATAAGAGTAACACAATAAAAACTAGTAAAAATTTCTTCTGTTCTCCAAAAAGTTGCTGATATTTTGTTGGCTAGATGAACGCCGCTTCAGTTCCCAAACCTCTCCTCAGGGGCACTGTAGCCATTCCATGTATTTATTAAATTTTACCACTAGCTGACAATTCATTTCATTCATTTTAAAAAGTCAATGAGATATTTATAAGTCATACAAGGTGTACTAGTGGTAGTGATGTATCGGATGGTTGCTGGAAATAATGCGGTGATTTTAGCAGAGGTTTTGAAATGGCTAAGGAATAATAGCATAGTTTTACACAAACATAAAGATCATTTAAACATAATTTTCTTTGACTGCCTAAGACTTTTGCACAGTACTGTACATTCTGATAAATTCAGCACCTGAAGTCTGAATACTGGTGTGATGATGGTGCAAATGCACATATGCCCGGAAGAGATCACTTCTAAAAACTCATCAGACTGGTGGAAAGCAGTAAATGGAGATGTGGCCAAGTGCAAAGGGGATAAAACAATCTGATTTCTTTTCTGTTCATTTTAATGAGGCTGTGGGTACGACCACAATGAGGAAACACATGGTACCAAATCACGACTAAATGCTTGATTCGTGGTATCACTACAATCATTTATAAATACTGATTTAGAACGTATTAAATATCTTTAGGTCAGAAGTACTTCGGTTTCACAGCAAACATGTACAGAGACAGGGGTCGAAGCGGACTAGCGTGCCTGCCGTAGCAACAGTTGTAGTCAGGAATGGGAAAATGTGACGACGGGCACAAAAAGCAGGGAGGGACCTCCCGACAGCATGCTATGGCACGGGACAGGCACGACACTGACGGGATCCAGACGGAACAGGGGGCTGAGGCAAGACAACAAGGGGGACCGAGGCCAGGTGGAGGGGGGCAGTAATGGCACTGCATCCAGGCCTCCCCGCCCACCCAAGTGCTGCAACGAAGGGCTGAAAACGTGCACATCTGCAGGATCTGTGTGGGTGAGCGTGGGTCACTTCTGAGCTTGTTACTGAGCAGGAAAGGAGCGACAGAGAAAGAGGAGGGAGGGATACAGGCGGGGACCAGCCGCTCAGATGACGCTCTCAAAGAGCAGCGTGGTCTTGCTTGGCCCCTGAACGGGCAGCAGTTTGGCCTCAGCCTCAGGTGACAGGTACTCCAGGTGGTGTCTGCCCCACACCGGGGCAGTGAGGTGCTGCCAGCGCTGCGGGGGGAGCAGGATTGCCATTAGTGACAGACACACACAAAAGCACCAGCATCCGCTTGGCCATTGGCAGGCAGCCCACCTCCCTGAGGGAGCCCTTGCAGCGCAGAAGCTTGTAGAGCACGGTGACGGGGATGCAGAGCATGGAGGAAAGGGCCAGGCCCCAGCCCAGGGCCTCGCCCCACCAGGGATATACGTAGCTGGAGTTATAGGTCAGGGGCTTGTAATTCACCACATGGAACAAGAAGATACCCTGTGGACAGACACAGACTTGGTGTCAGGCACACACAGTCCACTTCCTGTTTCCAGATTTATGGGAAAGAGAGCAAAAATATTTAGTCAATATTAAACAAATCAAATCCAGTCACTAGTGTCACTCACTGCACTAAAAATTGGTTTAAACTGCGTAAATTTGTGTGTTTTTAGGAATGCACGTTTATGCCACCTTGTGGGTAACTTTACTGTAGCAAAGTGGACTGGATCTGATCTCACCTGCACATGGCCCCACTACTTCTCCTTATTTTATCACCAGACACCCAAAGAGACGGTGCAAAGGTCACTCTGTCTCTGATGTCATTAATACTCCCCACAGGGGGCGCAATTGCTCCAGCTGGAACATGCTACGTTCTACTGCTTACGAAATGTTTCTTTGCGGCTATTAAATAGCTCATGTGTGGCATGCTTAAGCCACAAGCTGCCAAGTCAAACTAATAAACTGTGCAGATTTCATAAATAAATACATCATTACATGTCCTTTCTAGTAAATTCTCTGTGACTATTTGATGTTGTTAGAAACCACAGTGAGTTTGACCTATTTCACCTCAAATATGGCAGACCGGTGTTTCCCAATCCGGTCCTTGGGGACCTACAGCCAGTCCATGTTTTTGCTCCCTCCGAGCTCACAGTAGGGAGCTGGGAAGGAACAAAAATGTGGACTGGCTGTGTTACTCCTTACCTCTGTTACTTTGTTCCCGAGGAGCAAATTGGGAAACACTGGCTTGACCTAAAAATAAAATGTATTAAAATATATATGTTTAAATGTATTTAAACACAGTTTAAATAAATACACAGAGGGGCTGTGAGGGATGTTAGTGTAGAGCCTATGAAGAGCTGCCGGTTAAAGATTATAGGTCTCTGGCTTCTGCCCACTAACTTACCACACACACACAGGGCGTGACAAAGGACCAGCACCATTTCATGTAGGGCAGGGGATGGTAACCAATCATCCGGGCCACATCATCCATAAAGCGGTCTGCCCCTGTGGGAAGAATCCCAGAGGTAAGGGGGTGGGGGGTGGGGGGCAAGGACAGGTCAAAGACAGCTGGATGAGATGGGAATGCAAATGTGGTCTCATGTGGTCTGGTCTCACTCCCTGAGTGACTCTCTGCAGAGGTCTGCTTATCAGACAGCTTATCAGTTTCCCTGTATAAGCCTCCCTTATATTTCTGAATAAACATTAACCCTTAGGCATATATCAATGTGCAGCCACACACACACACACACACACACACACATTTCACCATCTTGCTCCTCCTACACCGAGTTCCTGCCCCCAGAGGAACTTAGCCCTTCAGTGTAACACGCTGGCTCACCATAGACCCAGGCCACCACCATGCACTCCCAGAAGGCCTGCCACAGCAGCGTCATCCCACTAGCTGAGTAGTAGTCAAAGAGCTGGAATACATACATGCCCCCCTGGAAAGAGAAGGGCATAGGGCAGGCGGGTGAGGGGCAGGGAATCGGCACCATGAGAAAAACCCAAACCTGTCATTCAAGCAATAAAACCTGAACATAAATCACCAAAAGCTAATAGGAAATATGACAGTAAATCACTCAAGCCCTTTCCCTCGTACATGACCCCTTACCTCTGTTACCATGGAGAGGTCAATAAAGAAGCAAGTGATGCAACAGATCGCCACGACAACTTCACGACGTAGGGACCCTGCCAGCGAATTAGGAGGGAGCATGTCCATGATGCCAGTAATAAAGCCCTCTACCCCTACGAACTGAGAGAGAGGGGGCAATGAGCACAGGCAGGACCACACAGTCACTGACACACTGATATATGGTGAATGTGAGTACCAGACATGGATAGTTCAGGTCCAGAACGTAAAAATCTAGACCAAGATTTTGTTTCAACTAGTCAATTGAGCATAAAGTGTCACAGTCACAGAGTACTGGTTGGCTGAAACAAAATCTTCGTCTGGATTTTTACTTTTTGGACCTGAGCTGTCCACCTCTGGTGCGTGCCATCGCTTATGTGGCTAAAATTGGTAGATTCATAAACAGATTATGTCTTGAATATTCAGAATGTTGTACTGTGAAAAGAGAACCCTCTATTTTCAAAAGAAGACATTTCTGTATCCATCTTCATTTACAGTCAACAAGGAGACAGAATTATCCATTCATCTTCTCAAAGCATATCCTCTACATCAGGGGTGTCAAACTGCAGTCCTGGGGGGCCGCAGCCCTGTGTAGCTTAGTTCTTTCCCTGTTCCACCATAAATGATTCAGCTCAACATCTATGTGGTAATTAGCACAAGAAGTCGAATCAGGAGTGTTAAATGAGGGGAAACCCAAAAATGTGCAGGACTCTGGCCCTCCAGGACTGGAGTCTGACACCTGTGCTCTACATGCTTGCTGAAATCAAAGCTCTCCCCAGGTGCAACACTGAAGCAGTTACTGGCTTATACTAAGCTTTCTGACATTATAACTAAACTTTGATTTAAAGTACAAAGCACATATCTTAGAGGGCCTTTGTACGATGGGCTGGGGGAGGGGGCACAGAAGCACAGGGGTCAGGGAGGGTGGAGGGTATGTGTGTGGTCACCTGACTGTCCAGACCAAGGATCAGCAGCATGAAGAAGAACAGGGCTGCCCAGAAAGGCGCCAGGGGCATCAGGGTGACGGCCTTCGGGTAAGCAATGAACGCCAAGCCAGGACCTGAGGAAAGCACTCTACTCTAGTTTAACCATCACTTACTACAAAACCTTATTAACCTTTTGGATGAGTGGAGGAGGCCAGGCCTGTGAAGCGACCATCTATGAGGGCACACAGCCAGTCAATGATGGCCAGTGAGGCTGAGAACATCACCCAGCAAACGCATCTTTGATTGAGTCAGGGGGAAGAATGGGTATTACATAAGAACATAAGAAATTTACAAACGAGAGGGGGCCATTCGGCCCATCAAGCTCATTTGGGGAGAACTTAACTAATAGCTCAGAGTTGTTAAAATCTTATCTAGCTCTTGTCACAGAACGTCATTTTTCTGATTAATATGCCCATCTGTTTGCCTGTATGTAAAGGTCCTGGAAATTAGCAGTATGGGGACAGGCAATAAAAGCATTTTTATTGCTTTATGAAGGTGAAAAACACAGGCAAGTACTGATAAAAGGCACAAAATGAAATTAGAGGAGAGCACGGGAGCATGGCAGGGAGAGGGGAGGGGAGGGGGGGCACACTGTGGTCGGGGCCTCACCGCTTTCCGCTACTCTGCTGATGTCCACTCCCTGCTCCGCTGCCATGAAGCCCAGTACGGAGAAGACCACAAATCCAGAGAAGAAACTGGTGCCGCTGTTGATCAGAGCCAGGATGAAAGCATCCCTGAAAGGCAAGAGAGAGAGTGACTGACGGCAAGAGCCAGTGAGAGGGGGGAGGGCGAGAGAGGCAGATTAACGCTGATAGCTGTAATCATTTCACTGATAGCTCTAGTCATCTGTGTATTTTGACTGGTTGGCAACAGGTCATAATGGAAACGGGACTATTGGAGCTATTGATGTGAAACGTATGGAAATTATAGATAGAGGATTATTAAATTTGCCCAGAGCCATGTTTATTTTGCACTATTATCACGTCTCTGCTATTAGCAGATGCGTAAGTCTGGCAAATTAGACAGCGTCCCCCATTTTTTGCCACAACTTACACTTGGGGCTCTGAATAGAACAGATCTGTGTCTGAGTTAAAGTACATCTATCTGCATAAAGTTTGTAGAACCATCTACAGATTTAAGCTGTGTGTAGAGGAGAGCTGAGATACAGGGGTAAGAGTACCTGGGTGGGTAGGGAGATATTAGAGGTGGAGAGATAGGAGAGTCTCTGTCCACCCAGGGAAGCTTCCCTGGGTGGACAGGGAAGGTTCCCCACATAGAGAATTTCGAGCAAGACGTTCCTGATTGCTGACCCCACTTACCTCACGAGATTCCTATCTGGGTGCCGTTAAAGGTGATATTTGCTTTCTAAGAGCAATAAAAGAGTCTGTTTTGAGTGAGGAGCATGCCCGGGATGCTGGCTACCAGTGGAGTGTGGATTTTGGGCAAAGTGAGAGAAGCAAAAGCCAGGGTGACTGGGTGGAGGAGCGTTCAACGCCACCAGACCACCTGCTACCACTCTAATGGGGGTCAGCCGGCATGGGGAGCGCTGCCCGACTCGGTGTCCATGAGGAGCAATGTGATCGGAAGGGATAATGTGGAACAAGGAGGTCAGAGGACATCAAATGATAAGTATGGAAAAATGAAAAAGCAAAACTGCTAGCTATTGATCATCCTGTAAGGTATGGGGAAAGACGGTACGTGGGTACGTATGTTTGAGGCTGCCTGGCTACGTGAGCATCTACGTATGCTTGAGAAGATTACTTTTTTTTTGGTCCTGTTGTCCAAAACAGAAGTAAATCACCATCAGCAAGCAGCAGCACCCCACCAGCATGCAGAGAGATTCCAGGAAAGCCCTTCTGCAGAAATGGAACCTAACTATTAAAGTTTCATTACAGGAAGGCGACAGCAATGTAGACAGTGATTGTTCCCCCGAGTGCGGTGCTGGGGGCAGCCGTGCCGCGTGACTCACTGGTAGCAGTTGTTGTGGAAACGGTTGTAGCTGCCCAGAGCGGTTAGCGCACCAAGGCCGATGGCGTAGGAGAAGAAGATCTGGGTTCCGGCGTCGATCCACACCTGGGCACAAGCAACTGGGGTTTGTAAGGTGACTTCCCGCCAATTCACACGTCCACCATCCCAGTTTCCTCGCACGTCTGCTCGTTCACCAGCATGGCCTTCTTGTAAGCTCTTACGAAGTTTCACGAGTCAGCGTACAGCGAGACATACACATTAGGCTGTTTTCACATACAATAGAAAACATTCGGTAGATCTGAGTAATAAACATAGGACAGTAATAGGCTTTTGGCAACTAAAGTATGGCTATGAAATGCAAAATGGGCATGGTGGACATATTTCTCTATTATACATGCAGTCCCCAGGTTACGAATGAGATCCATACCCTATATCTATCTTTAAGTTGAATTTGAGAAAATTAGAAAATAATACAGTACATAACGGTAATAAATATACAGTAATAATAACAGTAACTACATACGTCACAAAGTAATGCATTTGTTATGTTTGTTATGTTGAGTATCACTGTATATAACCCAAATATTTAATATAATAGGCTTTATGCAGTCAAGTATGTATGAGTTGTCTGTATGTCGGACATTCTTAACCCGCGGACTGCCTGTATTTCAAGATAACTTGTGACTGTCTAGAATGTCTTTTGGTCACCCACTTTGCCATTTGTCCCCTGGGTATCACATGACCAGACAAAGAGCAGGCTGTCTCACCTGTGCCTCCGCCAGCTTGGACCAGTCAGGTTTCAGGTAGTACACGATGCCATCCAGAGCACCAGGCAGAGTGACACCATGGGCCAGCAGCACCACCAGCACGAGGTAGGGGAACAGAGCTGTGAAATACACCACCTGGGAGACAGACAGCGGACTTATGGTGGTCGTCACATGGGGAAAACACGCTGCAAAACACGGTCTACTGCGTCCAGGCTGCCAGGGCAGTGCTAAGAGGGCATCAACGAAAAGGACGCAAACTACAAATAGGCCTTCAACAGATCATTACAGAAAGAACAGTTCCCAGAAAACCCCATACAGTGACTGCAACCAATACAGTTTAAATGGATGCTGATGCGATGAGTTCCGCATTATAAATTATGATATTGCGGTTATGGGTTCTCTATGTACCACATCTAAAAAAGAATTGCACCGCTATTAAAAAGTAATGCAGTCAACTTTTTAATATTATGCAGTTCCAAGGCATTCAGCCCAGCCCAAAACTACACAAATGTACTGGTAAATGTACCAGGAAACTCAAAACACCTTTAACTCATCTGTTAAAGGTCTTTAGGAACAGAAACAAAACTTTATAAGTGTGTGAGAATTACAGCTTCTCTATTCAGAGACCATAAGCATCACCCTAATGAGACTGCTAAGCAGGGGGTCTGGCCGAGGGGCTGCGAAAACAAAGCTCTCATATGGACTACTTTAAACCTTTAAGTCCAGCTCCTTGATCTCAAGGACAGCAGAAGGGAAAAAACAACGGTTATCCAGGGCTCAAATACACACTGGGGTGTTCCGAAAAAAGCCAGATAATCAGCTTAGGGCAGAAAAGCTGAATCGGGCCCCTTGTTTCGGCACTGCCTGGGCACCCAGGTCACGCTGCGAAGCATGGGCGCAGGGAAACAAAGCCAGTCTGAGCCGGCCGCTGGCCGCCTCACTCAGGGATCTCTGGAATTTCATTACAAGGCCTCTGAGGCCTTGAAAATTCACACGGCCGTCACGTAGGGAGGCTGGGACAAAGGGGATTGGCGGATGGGTCTGCGGGGTAGCCACATGTCTGCTGCTCGGAATACAGTGCCACTGGGGGGGATGCTGGGCATGGTGTGGGTGGAGCTCTACAAGCTGGTGCCAGTGTGCAGCTACAGAGCCCAGCTCACACTCTGTCAGATGGGGTGAGGAAACGCCACCTGCGGGGATCTCAGGGGTGACATTTATCCCCAGCTGACAGTGACACAATTCCCCCTAAGTACATATTCTTGAACAAGGTATATATGTGATGTAAAGGCTGTTTTTATAGACATGGATGCTTCAGCAGAAAGATATTTGCCAATATAATTATACATAAATTCAATATTATAACCTTCTTATTGCACTGAGACAGAAAGCAGTCATGTCACAAAGAGTATGGCTCTTTAAGGACTGTAAGTAATATGATGGCTCACGTCAAATGTAGGAAAGCCTCTCTGCTGAATTTACCGCACTTCCTAGCAAGCATCCAAGTAAACATTCCCTTTTAGGGCAAGGATTTGCCTGCTGGAACATTCCACACTGGCCTACAGGCTTCTGAGTGGCAGGGGTAAAACCGTCAGCCCCACATGTGCCAGTAATCTGGAAGGGCTGCGCTGACCTTGCCGGTGGATTTAACTCCTTTCCAGATGCAGAAGTATACGAAGATCCAGGTGGCCACCAGGCATAAGACCATATGACCGCTGACATCCCCAGCCTCGTCCAAACCCCCTGACAGACGCAGCACCTTTCGTCTGAGAGACAGAAAATAAGGTTTCAGGGTGCTCAGTCAGGTATACACACAGGCACACACAAACAAAGTGGTGAGCAAACACAGAGATTCAGCCCAGCAAACAGTTCTGGTGAGCTGTTTCTGTGAGCCCAGAGAGACACTGCAAACCTTTGACCAAGGATTTCTATCACTAACATACTCAGCAAAAGTGAGCTGATTAAATCAGAAAGAGGTGCTTGCTTAACTTATGCGTATGCTAACTGTGACTGCAAGAACTAGTCATGGTCTCAAGACTGAAAAGACCAACTAAAAAGTGTGTAGATTTTTACAGGTATGGATGGTAGGGATATGTCCCTAGCAATACTGTGGGAGTACTGTGTGTGTTTAGGGGGGCAAGGAGGTTCAGGGCTGATTTGGTTGCTACCAATGCTGAAACCAAACCAACACCTTCGCTAATTGGCATGGTCCTGATAAACCAGGAACTCACTCCCAGAACTCGATGACCGGAGAGCGCATGCCATCCACCTCTGCACAGCTGACGTTGAGTAGGGGGAGAGAAGAAAGGTTCTGTAGGGGCTGGGGAGAGGACTGGTTACGAGAGGAGGAGGGTTCTACAGCGGGACCGAGCAGGGAGCTGTGACTGGGGCAGGGCCTGCTGAAGTCCTGAGTGCAGTTGGGTGAGTTCCATGGGTGCCCACACGTGGCCCAGGGCAGGGGAGACGAGAAAGAGTTGAGCAGGAAGTAGAGGCCCCACACGAGAACCATGATGTAGTACGTGTTGCAGAAGAACACTATCACCATGGAGGCCAGGCCTAATCCTGAAGAACACACAAAAAACGAGGGAGGGGGAGACAGAATAACAAAACAAATGGTTTCCCAGAGCCAAACTAGAAGAGAAGATTATGCTGTAAAAGATGCCAAACACCACGCAGCTGAGATCGGGGGCCTGTACTACAAAGCGGGGTTACTGGCTTATCGGGGTAACTTTACGGATTTAAGGTAGTCTGGGCAAAGTGTAAGTGAATGAATATGAAGTCCATTTAAACTGTGGTACCTTAAATCCGACAAGTTACCCCGATAAGCCAGTAACCCCGCTTCGTAGTATAGGCCACTGACCTATGCAAAGGACTTACCTTTGAAAAGTGGGGCGATGTTCCACGCCGAGACCCCACCTTGTTTCATGAACTGTCCAAGTGCTATCTCCAGGAAGAACACAGGAATCCCCCCGATAAAGACAATCAGCAGATAAGGGATCAGAAAGACGCCTGCAACAAATAATAACCTGATGAAAAGGTTACTGGAGACACAGAGTTTAATAACTTTTTGTCACATGATATGTTCTAAAGGAGATCCTTTGTGGTCTGGTGGGTTTGGAAGTATTTACTGAAATTCATGACCATCACCTTTGAGTCTATCCTTCAAACTTAATTTTAGAAATATTAAATATTACAAATCAGAAAGGGGGGGCGGTTCATGCAGAATCTAGGTTTTAAGGTTTCTGGTTAGGAACTGGGCCATTTTACAAACAAAATGTGTATAACAGTCAATTTATAACTGAGATGAAGGCTCTGCTGTGCTTAACCAGAGATATCTGTCTGGTTTTCATTGTTATATTTCCTAAAGAAGCAGCAGGTAAGGGCTGAGATAAGCAAGATTAAAGATAAAGATGAGAAAAAGAAGTTTGAAGCAAGAGACGGAAGGAGGTGAGACATAAAAATAACGTTTAATTTCAGCCATGTTTGCATACGATTAGCACAAGCTGTCCTTGAGCCAGAGTCATAAAACAAAAACTATAATCCAAGCAAACCAGCCACCAGTAGTGAATATGCATGGTGTCTATGCTGTAAATACTGAAACCTTAAAAGGACTTTCAGGGGAGAGAAGGATGACCTCGAACAGCCACAAGCAGGCTAAAAATGTGCTTTAAGGATTTAAATATGGCCATGGTTATGTCCTCAATTGCTGCATAATGAATCACATTCTTGGATCCTTGTGTCTCCTTGCTGACCGGCGCTATTTAGTCAACATGCAAACAGAAATGACAACCCGATGCTCACATGAGAGAAACGACTGAAATAAGGGAAGGAGAGCAAGAGGCGTGCAGGAGCAGTGCAATGAACACCCTCATTGGCTCCCTATCCGCCATGCCTACCACTCAGCCGCGTATGATTCCTACTAAAGGCATTATGCCACTATGGCCTTATAAGGAAGAAGCATGAGAAGGTAACAGCCGGGGGCCAGCAGAGAGCAAGAGTAAAGATGATGGGCAGTTACAGTAGAGAGTTTATTAGTGTTTAGATGGGAGGCAATTTAAGCAAACTGCCATGCAATTTGACCCATAATCCTGTCAGCCGTAATAGTAATACTCTTTATACAACAATCCATTAATCTACCAAAAAGTCATCCTGGTCCGAGAGGGTGGTGGCAAGGCTGCCCTGGGGGTGTGTGGGAGAAGAGGATCAATGTGCCACTCCTCTTCAAACATTCTCTGCAAACTGATGGGAATGGCCTGACATGGAAGTAGTCTGAAGTCACGGCAACACCATTAAAACATTACATTCTCATCAAATTGATTAATGAAACGCATTACTAAGTTGCACTGGGACTGTAGTTTTCCTGGAACAACACGCCATAGAAAGGAGCAAATTGCAGAGTCAGAGCTGTCACCGATGTTAGCGTGCAAACACATTTCTGCCAATGCGTGTACCTATGCCGTGTGTAATCTGGCTGCTATAGCAAAAAGGAAGTAACTTTGCATTCTAATCTTTGGAGGGTCAGGAGGATCACCAACTGTGATAAGTAATGCAAATAACCCTGATGGTTTCCAAAGCCAAGGCGGAGCAATGAAGATGGGATGACTAAGAGCAGAAACAAGGTTGTCAAGAGAGCCGACATGTGTCGAGAGCAAGGAAAGTCCATCACGGACAAGCTGAAACAGAAGAGTGCATGAGAGGTTAAGGGGAGGGGAAGACAGACAAGAAGGCTGTGTTTATGGCTGGGTTTATCTCAGGGACGAACTGCAGACATAAACTGTGCTTTCTGTCAATTGACGCAATGTGCCACGTGTGGCTGCTACGTGCGCGCTGTCACGCAGAGGCCCCTGACCTCCCCCTCTCTCACTCTAAGTGACACTGCATCACCATTCCCTCTCCTGTATGCTGTATGCAGCCCTGCTGGCCCTCGGTTGGGTCTGGCCATCACCTCCGCCGTTCTTGTAGCATAAATAGGGGAACCTCCACACGTTGCCCAGTCCCACGGCGAAGCCAACGCACGACATGATGAAATCCATTTGTCTGGTCCATGTTTCTCTCTCGACCACCGAACCACCTCCCCCACCAGCATCCTCAACACCGGGCATGGGCACCAGGGGGCGTATGACAGCCCCTTCCTCTTCCAGCAGTACTCCAGACTCAACCTGGGTGGAATTTTTATCTTCTGTACCAAAATAGAAGGAAAAAAGGGGATGGGGGAGAGAATACCGTTACATAAACTCCCAATAATAACTCACAAATTCAACATCTCGGTGAATCAACAGCAAAGCACCCAGTTGCACCATTCATTAATTTACTTTATCTCAGAGGCCTACAGAAACCATGACTGCTCTGCACTCCTGCTTTCACCTAACATCTGAAGTACAAACAGTTGCATGACATGGGTTCAAGTGGGCTCTCCAAGAGTCTTGTCACACTTGGAAAATATGGTGCAGCTCAGCAGAGCTCTGTGCTGGATGATTCCTTGCAAGTAATGCCTCACAGCCCAGCCTGCTACTCTTGATAGACATTCTGGACATACTTGGTTCAATTAGAAACTACATTAGACTGGATCCTCTTCTCCAAATGTAAATGTTTATTTTCCCTTGAAACAAGAATAAACCCAGGGGAGAGAGGTAATTAACCATTTTCATTGGTACTACAGACATCTGGATACATGCTATGTTTCTTCAAATTACAAATGTGGGATTGCAATGGTGAATTACACCTTCCTTTTCAATGAAGGCATCTCTAACATGACACCACACATATCCTGACTATGTTGTTTGTAATGTCCCAAATGGCAAAACAATGAAGGTCACAATATCTAAGAGGTTCATATGCCACGTTTTCAAAACACCAATACATTTACACACTAACAATTGTGAAAATTATTAATTATCTTGGAAGAACACTGCTATAACATTGGGGGAAAATGTGTGTCGCTTAATGTAGAAAAACGTATTTAAACTAGCAGCCTTGAGGTACAAAGTCCATACATAATTCATAAAAGAAATATCAGAGTCGTTACTGTCATTATTATAAAGTTTTCTCAAAATGTACTTTGCATTATTCTGTAAAAGTTCTGTTTATGTCAATGTGGATCTTAATATTTAGGACAGAATTTCAATTGTCTTTAATTCATGAATAGCGACTCATTCATTCATTTTCAGAATATTATATGTTTAATGCTGTACTGCTCATGGCTTAGTATAAAGCATAAAGGATGCTTTTACAGAGAGGCTGAAACTAAAAATAGCACCTCTAATGACTGAAAGATGCCTCCAAATATTAAGGCGGGAGCATTACTTAGTCATAAATTGTTAAGGGGCTTAAGTCCTTAAGTTGCATTTCTCCTGTGTGTCTGTAAATCCCCTGAGAACATGTACTGTGGTGGTCAAAAACTTGCATGTCTCATCATTCCTTGCACCATGATCTTAGCCTTTTGTTTTAGAGAGTTGTTAAGGTTGAAGGCACCAGATAACCATGATTTCCACTGGATTCTCTCCTCTCTCATCTCTTTCCATAATGCAAATTTGTGGTGGCAAAGGGAGTTTAGCCACACACACATTTTCACACCCTCCCTTCTGTGTTCCTCACACTGCCTCCTCCCATCCATCTCAAACACACATAGACACACATTTTGCAATGTTGTTGTAAGGCTAGCAGGATGCATTAGGAAAAGAATCACTTCAGTCACCGCTGTGCGCCTTCATGACACTTCTCAAAAAAGGATTCTTTAGACTGGTGTACGTCATGTGACTTACACATCATTCATAACGGGTAGTGAGACTGGCAAACAGAACGCCATGTTCAGGTAAAGAGCAATAATAACGTCATTTTTCAAGAAGCAAATCTTTTATATACAAAAAACATAAGAAATGTAAATCTCTTATAAAAAATATAAGAAAACGGAAATTATGTATAGTGCTGGATTTTATAACTGCTTCTGGTCTAAAGAAGACATTGCGCTAAGAACCATGCAGCGATACTGAATGACATACACGATTATCCGTTATTTTCTGTCGATACTCGGGTAACGTAGAAATGAATCATCAACAGTTTAGGGTTGGACGGAGTCTGAGGTACAAGCGCTATCTTAAATGGAGAAGCAGGATGCTTTATTGACTACCCGCTTTAATATTGTGATAATGCGTAGCAATCATACGTTGTATTTATTTCTGTTTCACGTAACATGTCAGCTGAAAAAAAAAAAAACCCATTTACCAATGTAGTTTAAATTTCAGTCTAGCTACGTTGTAGAACTAAGAATAATACAAGGCGCGGACGCAGTGAACGCGATAGAAATACCAGTTAATGTCACAGTGTAAACCAAGCTGTCTAACCCGGTGGTAGTAGTAGTAGCAGTAGTAGTAATAAATAAATAATAATAATAATAATAATAATAATAATAATAATACACTATACAACAGATGCGCGTTCAACAGATTACCCTGTACACGCTTTACTGACGATATTTTAGATGGTTGAGTGATCAGTTATTTCAGGATGAAGACAGAAATAATAAATCATCATGGTGGTAGTAACCTATTTATGCAGTTACCTAACTGGCTTGACATTATATCAAATGACCCAGTGTCTCAGCTACCTTTTACGTAGAAAACTAGCAAGGCGACACATACATGGTATACCCATGAGACTATAACTTATAACATCAGTATTATTAATTATTCTGATAACATACCTGTAACGTGGTTTTCCACTTCTGGCGACATTTCAGTTGTAAACGCCAATACCTCAAAATATAATAATGTAGAAAGTGCGATAAAGTCGTGAGTTTGCGTTTTGTCTAGTTATTTAAATCCTTCTTGGTTTTCCCTTTTGCTATTATTTTTAGTCAGTGTTGTTGTAAAATATTATTCAGCTATATTTAGCTTACTGACTAGCTATAGCCAGAGATGGTATATTTACAATGCGTCGCGGATGGTGAAGGAATAAGATTCAAAAGCAGTCGACAAAGCACTTGAAGGTAAGCCTGAAGAATCTCATGGATGAAAATTAAAGGAAATTAACCGTAACCTCGAAATCAAAATGGGTCCCACTGTTTGTTTCTGTTTGATCTCCCGGATTTCACTTGTGGCCGCAAAAACGCTCCGCGTACGCAGAGGACCGAAGCAGAGACTGCGAGATCCCGGCGTGACGGAGCGGTCCTGAGCTGTCAGTACCCCCTCCACGCAGATCCCGCACCGCGATTGGCTGATCGCGGCGCGTTCCTCTGCACCATCATCTCTCTCTCATTCTATCTTCTGCCTCCCACCATATCATTCAGTGTCAGTTGCTCCTTCCCATCTCACTTCAGCCCGCAAGATGAAGTCAGGTAGATGAAAGCAATCACACGTGGTGGTACGACATTAATGCTATCGAGGCTTTTGCTATTACAGACGATGAGACAAATGAAACGTAATGAGGTAAGCTTTTGTGGTTCTCCAGATATAAAAGAATTGGAGAATGGTCTGTTATTTGGTAAAACTGAATCGAAATATTAGCACTTTATTTTGTCATAGTAATTTAATTATTACATTGTCAGCCGATTGATTATTACATGTTTGGATGGTAGGCCTATATTAACACAAAACTACATCAACAAGATGATCAGTGCCAGGAGCAGACCCTTCGAGAGGCAGGTGCAGTCACGGGCACAGATAGACCCCAGGTGGGGCTTATAGAACTGTGTTAAGGAGGTAGGGCTTGGTAAATGGACGATCCACGAAGCGGCTCTCCAGAACAGGGGTTTTATTAGAAAGACGGGCCAAGACAAAAAAACAAAGAGGACCAGGGGCCTGTTTCACAAAGCAGGATTACTTGCTTAGCCAGATAACTTGCCAGATTTAAGGTAGTCTGGGCTAAATGTAAGTTGATGAAAATAAGGTCAATTTAGCCCAGACTAACTAAGTTTTGGATTATGCTTTGTGAAACAGACCTAAACACTGGGCTAGAGGTCTAAACACTGGGCTAGAGAAAACAAGAACTAAATCAGGAAGTAACACAGCACATATATCTAAACCAGAGCAACCTCAGGAATAAACACCGTGACTGACTGAAGACTAGAGCAAATTAAGGAAGGTACATAAATACATACATGGCGAGGATCAACAAGAGACAGATGTGGGCAGGAACAAGCACAGGCGAAGGCAATCAGCAGATTAAAGATCAAGCACCAGGGGCAACTAGGATAACAAGGGTAACTGAACCATACTGCAAACTAGAAGAGGGAGCAAAACAAGGAATCATACATAAAAACAGCAGTACACAATTAACACAAAAATACTCCAAGAACCTTAATGCCGGAAAAGTAAACATGACAAAAAAGGGAGCTTGGATGAGAGAGCTGCTTAGCCCATTAAGCCACATGGCAGCCCAAGGCAGAGGGTAACATATTAGGAGCTAAGGACACGGGATAGGCAGTAACCTGCTGATCAAACAGGAAACAAACATAGGGCAGGGACTGATCCTGACAAACTGCTCCTCTGACTAGATAAATGCCTTTTTCACAAGATTTTTTTCTATTTCTTTTTCTAATATCATATTTAATTTACATGAAAAATAAATAAAATTTAAATTTGACCCATAGCATCAATTCTCAATTATAAGTGTGTTGCAATGCTTGGCAATTGCATGTAAAGGTGATGATACCCAGGGCAAGTTTTTGAGCAATGCTGCCAGGCAGTGTTGCTGTCCAGTGTTGCTTGGGCAGTTTCCCATTGATACAAATTTCTATTTGAAAAACTGATCGGCAGTGAGCAATGGTGAGCCTGGCAACATTGCTAAATAACTTGCCCTGTGAATCATCAAGTTCTAATTCTGATGAGACTGCAAAACCCTGCCCCTTCCTCTTGAACTTCCCTTGTCACAGCAACCACAGTTAACGCATGCAAATCGAGTGGAGAACCATCCACTTCTCCTTGACATGCCTTCACTGGTGTTAGCTAGGTAATTATTATTGTTTGCCTAAGCCTTGGCATTGCTTGTCGTCTCAATACAGCAAGTCTAACTTAGGCAATAGCCCTCCATTAAGCTTAACAAGCAAGCTTGTCTGGCATAAAATAGTCATCAATGAAAAGGAGTGAACTCCAGTAGGCTAATTCTTTTGTCAGGCAACTGAAGCAAATAATCATGCATTACATAGTTAATAGTCTATAGTAATCATATTTCGATATTAGAATGTTAGTTGACCTGTCACCCCTCACAAAAATATAAAGATATCAGAGTTGTAGTTCTCGAGATCTGGTCTCAGTCTCAAGGTGCAGGCTTAAACCCACCTTCAGTCTCAAGCACATTTTTTCTTGATCTTGCCCATGAATTTCGAAACAATTTAGTTCTTTTCCACTGGCATATAGGAACTTGGCTATACCTGACCTGTACTGTGAAGAGAGACTAGTTACAGCACAGTTCCAGCTTGTTTTCCACTGCAAAAGGGCCAGCTCTATAAAGGCGTTGCTGGGTTTGGAGAGCAGCAATGACACAAAACTGAAGAGATGCTTGATTACCGTTCACATGGTGTACATCTTGATTTACTGTATGCTACTTTACGATAGCACATCTGTGAGAATATGCTAGCACATCTGTGAGAATTGTCGTGTTATTTTACTACCAAATGCTAATGGGAATTAGCACTGGCTTGCATAAATTTGCATTATGAATCTGTTCCATTCAGCCATTCTATTCAGCCATTCATTCAAGTAGGAGGTTGGAAATTTTCAAATTCCGAATTACTGGGCATGCACGTGATACTGAATGAATAATACACAGAGCATGCCCTTTTTTCCTTCAGATAATCCATGTATATCGATGCAGTTCACCAGTATCTCTTGGATGGTGGTGATGCAACCAGCTCGATTTAGTTATGTGGGGAGCAGTGGCGGAGCCAGAGGGGTGTCCGGGGTGGCACTGGACACCCCTGACATCCGATTGGCCACCCCGGGTGCCACCCCAAAAATGTATTTGCTGCTGGCAGTTCCTGATGCTGATTGACATCTCATTTGTCTAAAGAAGTTTTTGAATTTTGCCGGCAATGCTGCTCAAGCTATTTTCAAATCAAAAGACGAGCTGAAGACAAGAGCATGTTTTCAAGGTAAGACGAATAATAAAACATCATATTTGAAATACGTTTTATAGTTTATTATAAGGTTTGTTTGCCGAGTAACGTTTATTATCCGCTGTGTAAGTTAACGAGGCGCCGACGACATCAGTTAACTTAATGAGATTAAAGAGATCAATTCACACTTTCGCTATACTTCATCTGTGCTAGTATTACATGCACATACCATGTATGTAAGTTTGTCAGGGATCCGGGCAGCTCGGGTGCGAGAACGTGGCATAGTGCAGGCACAAAAAGGGCGGACGACCCACTTGCAGCTCAGAGACAGTTGGGGATTTATTTAAACAAAAACAGAAAAACACTAGAAACGACTAACCAAAAACAAAGGACCACGAGGGGTCAAAACTAAAGGGGATAATTAAAGAATATTACAAAACAAAAACTAGGAAGGAAAACAGGATGCAGATCTAACCAAAACTAACCAAGACAAGCAACAATACACTCATAGACACCGGAACACATCATAGACAATGAACCACTGGGGAACTGAACAGAAGCAGGAACTAAAATACTAAAGGGGTAACGAACCTAACACAGGACAGGTAAGACTAATTAACAAAGACCAGGGAAACAGGGCACAGGTGAAACTAATAAACTCAAAGGAACTAAAAAACAGGGAAACTAAGAACTAACCAAGGAAACATAAACCAACACTATGGAACTAAACAGGTAAAGACACAAGCAGGGGCACAAGGAACAAAACCAAAACCAACTACAAAATCAGACACAAGGACTAACGAAACTCAAATGAAACACTAGGGAGCAAAATACAAAAACAGAGGAGGTGGGATTTGAACACAGGACAGAAGGGTACACAGACAACCACATGCTCAACACATTGAGCCACATGACCAGACAGGCAGTAGGCGAGAACAAAGACTAACAAAGAATGGGATGACCACAAACACCTGCTGGTCAAACGGGGAAGGGACACGGAAGGACCACAGCAGGGGCTGACCCTGACAAAGTTATTATATTTAATTTACGATGCTCAGATATTTTGCTAATATGGGGAAGTAATGTTAGGCTAGCTGTTTGTGAGTTAAATTTAGTTGAAATGGAATAGCCAGCTCATATACTTTCTTCAGAATAATGTTATTTAGATCGGTTGCTGATTTTAATGTGCAGTTATGATAATTGATATTTTTAATTAGGATAAATATGTTTCTAACTGGATCAGATGTAACCAGACTGTAATATTTTTGCACAGGGTCAATTAAACATGAAAAGGAAGGGCGAAATATCAGACTTCTTTATAAAGAAGCACAAACAGGCAGATCAGGTTCAAACAGACCCTACCCTTTGCACTGGATCCCACAGCAGCTCCATACCTGAGACTAGTTAGAGTCAGTGTGGTCAGACTTCAGATCCACCAGCAGGTCAGAGCATCTACTGTACCAAGCAATCACATGTTTCAAACAATGTTAGAATTTAAACTGAGCTTCAGGAAAGTTCAACTAAAAAAATAAAATCCTGTCATTACTTATTAACTCACAACAAAGTGAGTAGATGATGAGTAAATTATTATATTTTCATATTTTGAATTATATGTTGGTAATGAAATAGATTTGGGTTTTCTAAACACTTTCATTGTGTTTGTGTGTGTGTGCATCTTTGTGACATATCAGGATACAAATTTGTATAATGGTATGAGCATGACAGGTATTTCAGGAGAAGGTCATTGCCCATGCCCCCATTTTTCAAAAGGCTTATAAATATTTTTAAATGTTCCCTGTGAGGGTTGAATTAGGGCAATAGAAAATAGTTTGTAGAGTATATAAACAATGGAAACCTATTGAATGTCCTCACAATTCACAAAAACGTGTGTGTGTGTGTTTTCACTATTCTATGAGAACTAATGGATTGTGTTGTAAATAGATGTATCAAGGTGTCACGTTCGGGCTCGGGCGAGCCGGGAAGCAGGCGACAGCAGCCAGGAAGTCAGGTAACGGGGTTTAATTGGCGAAAGACAAGACATCCACGGACAATACAATGAATACAATGAATCTGGCATACATGGGGAGACGCAGA